GTGTGTGTGTGTGTGTGTGTGTGTGTGTGTGTGTGTGTGTCTTTTAAGAATAAGAAATTTTTTTTTGGTTTTTTCGAGACAGGGTTTCTCTGTTTAGCTTTGAAGCCTATCCTGGCACTCGCTCTGGAGACCAGGCTGGCCTCGAACTCACAGAGATCTGCCTGCCTCTACCTCCCGAGTGCTGGGATTAAAGGCATGCACCACCAACACCCGGCAAGAATAAGAATTTTAGAAAGGAATGGTAGCAGAGTTTTAAACAGATGAACCATAAGTTCCCTTTCAAATGATAGATTCCATGTGTGCTATCAGGGTAAGACTTAGACATGCCAAAGGTGAAGAACCGAACAAAACAATAAATAAAGAAAACAAAGAGCCTAATAACTAAGCTGAAACTGGTAGACAGTATAAGGTAGTTATATATTATGTAGATTATATAGTATTATAAGATGGATACTTTATAGTATAAGGTATCTATCCCCCAACAGTGTGCCCCATAAGCCTTTCTGGTAAACTTACAATGACTCCTACTTTCCAGATGAAAAAAAAAAAAAAAAAACATGGCTCAAAGACATTAAGTGATTTAGTCAAGTTCAACTTAACAGTGAGAGGGACCGCTAGTTCTAAGCTGACATTTGACAATCTATCTTCCTCCCATAGTTCCTGTAGCTCTGGACCCTGAGGCCATTCTCAGATATGGAAGGCCATGTCAGCACCTCCATTGTTTGACTCACAGTTGGCTGAAATACCCTCTGCCAACAGAGGTGACACAGTGACAGGAAGGTCAGACAGCCACAGAGTTTCAGGAGCTGTGGGTCTCTAACATGAGCACCACCCAGTCACTCTCCAGTTAAGCATAGACACCGCCATCCTCTGATATGGAACTCGGAAGTTGCTGACATTCAGGCCACACTCTGACATGACAAGACACAGCTGCTGACTGTGAGCCTTGTCAATCAGTGTGTCCCTTAATTTAACGTGAACCACCAAGTGTGCTGCAGGAGCATTAAAAGGGCAGACGTGTGCATGTACTCCAGGGATAGT